CCTATGTCCAATTTACTGAATAAAACCCTAGGCCCAAAAGAGGCTAGTTGAATATCAAAAAAAAAAAAAAAAAAAAAAATAATCTATATTTTTTTACTTTTATGCTAAAAACTTTTGAAGTATCTTATTTTGAAAATGGTGTTTTAAGACTATCGATATGATATTTGATTGGTTGACATGACCGATTTACAAAATATAATAATGTCAGAAAATTTTTAGAGTAATGATTTAATTAAGGATCTACAACATGCAGCATATATGAAATTATATGATGATCTATATGTTTTGTAAAAAAGATAGTTTTCACTTCTAAGCTAACACTGAAATTTTACAATATAACTAATGATCTTTATGATAATAAAAATATTTTATTATTTCATATTTTTAATTTATTTAATTTTTTTTCTATTATGTCAAAAATCTTTGAAGTATTTTATTTTAAAAACAGCATTCTGAGACTATCAATGAAATTACACTTGAAATTTGATTGGCTAATGTGACATGTGACTGATTTACAAATATTAATGTTAACATTAAGATCAAACTCACCACAATTCTAAATTCAAAGTTTTATCATTATTGTTATAGTATTTTCAAGAAAGCAACCTTATAGGCTTATTGGTTCATGTGAGTATATGAACACAACTCTAACTAGGGTTATGATTCAACTCACTTTTTTGAATTACTATAGTTTGGGTCTAGAAAGTGGGATTTGAGTGATGCCAAATGAAAACCAAAATTCTTATCATTATAATATTTTTAGGTTTTCACTTGGCGTCACTCATTTTTAATTGATTTGGATTCTCAATTAAAACCCAAATATATCTTCTGTTTTCAATTATTAGTATCAAACTCAAGAACTGGTGTTAATAAGGACTAATGTAAGGATTTTAAATATTATTACAAAACTGCTAGTGTGAGTTATACTCGAAGATTGTGTCAAGTAAGATATCATTATCAGAATATAATTGAGATTAATAAATATGAATGAAAGCAGTCAAATATTTTCAAAGAATCTTTTGAATATTTGTATTTGATAACTGTTATATTAATAGAAATGAAGTTGAAAAGATATGAAAAGACATTTAAAAGTTCAACAAAGATGGGAAATATGAATTGAATATACAATATTAGATATTGTTATCAAGAATAAACTAAAGTCAAAAAGGATAAGAACAAAGCATTCAAGTATTATCAAAAATTAATTAATGCTAAAAATGCTAGTAGATTATTAAATGCTAGATATTGCTATTCGAATAGAATTAAGTTATAAGAATAAATAATGATAGAATTTATTTAAATTTTTTTAAAAAACAGCTAATAGGATGATGCCAACGAAAGATATAATTTTGGTAATTGTTATTTGTTGCTGAATTGGAATAAAGAAAGACAAGTATAATGATAAGCATTTGAATGTTATTGGAAAACTGCTAATATTGCCTTGTTGAAGAAATAGATAATATTGGCTATTGTTATGAAAAAAAAAATGGAATTGACAAAGATATTAAAAGTGTTTGAATATTATCAGAAGGCTGCCAACATAGGATTAATCTTGGAAATATTAATGTTGGTCATGGTTAGCATTAGCATTATGAAAATAGAAATTGTCTTGAAGAATGAATGTAAGGTTCTGATCAGATAATTAGGACTAATGCTAATACTAACACTTTTGCTAATTAGTGCTAAATTAATTTTGTGTTATCATTATCATTATCATTATTGTTACTATTACATATTAATATCGATATTGATATCAACATGAAATCTGAGTTGAAAATAACAAACATAATTCCAAACTAGTAAGTTTGGATGCACCCTAACTCTAATCAACAATAGCATTAATGTTAGATGATTATTTGAATAATCATGATCGTGATATCGATATTATCAATTTCATATTTGTAATCAATTGTTATCATTATTATTATCATTATTATTATCATTATTATTATAATAATAATGATAATTATAATTGTTTTTTGAAGTAAAATATAATCAAAATAGTGGTATAATGATAAAAAAAAATAAAGGATTAGTAAATTAATTGTTCTTTTTTTCAACTGATCAAAACAAATCAGTAAATTTATTGTTCTTTTTTTCAACTAACCAAAGCATGTTAGTGCAACAAAAGTGTGTTTAAATTAATATTAACATTAAGAAAAGATAGCACTAATAGAACTAATAGAAAGAATTTTTAAACAAAAACCTCCTATTAAAATTAGAAGTAAAATGCAGATATTTAAAAATGCTGCATGATATATAATGATAAAAAGCTAGATTTAATTTAATTTAGACTCATTCAAAGTACAAAAACATTCTTAATTTACTTATAATATTAAATGTTAACATACCAATACAAAGGTTTTTACTAAGTTTGTATATATCAATATGCACGCATCTGTCAAGTAATTTGATGTAGCCTTCTTATACATATCAACATATTAAGTCTCTCATGCCATTCTTTAGTAATATCGATATGATCCTATCACTATATTAATATTTATGTTTTGAGGCATTTTTTTTTTACTCATAATGATAAGTCCAAATTTTTTAGCATTTATAATTCTAAAAATCTTATAATGATAATAATAATGATAATGATAAATATTGATATAATTTATTAATGTTAAGTCTTTTCTGCTATTTATATACTGGTACTTTATATTTTCAAAACTTATACCAGACATGATCTTATATAGCATAATGACAACTACTATACCAGAATCTTCAACAAATAAGGGTCTAAATTTAAAAAATTTGCTTCTTTTTAATTAATTTATTAATAGCAGTGAGTTTGGATACAAAAATATAGATGATGATGATATATTTGATGATAAAACTAAGGGTTACATATCTGAAAGTTATAATAGAAGCAATAATTGTGATTTCAATAATATTGATATTTTTACTTTGAATAAGATAAGCTTTAAAAGAGCCAGAATTTTTGCTAAAAATGAAGAAATTTATTATGATATCTTCTGTGAGAATGAAGAGTTCGAAGTAGATTCGATATTCTCAACAGAGTTAGAATCAATATTGACATTGCCATATGATGAAAGTATAGCATTGGAAAATCCTAATAGCAGTAACATACATCTATCGCTTTGTGTTATTTTAGATTTTATTAATGATCAATTGAAGCAATGCTGTGATATAGCACTAAACCAATGTCCTCTTAGACAACTTATTAGCACATAGGAAATAGACAAAGATACATTTGAAAAAGCTAAAAGTAACAATCAACTGCATAGCTTGGGGGTTTGTTTATCTTATTTTTCCTATGATGCAACCAAACTTTATATACTACATCTTAAAAAAGAACATTCAATTAAGAAAAGTTGGATTTACATCAAGTGTTGTTTTTTTTGCAACAAATTTAAAACTTTTTTTAGTCATGAAGAAAACTGCATACAATATACAGTATGTGTAGTTGGCAGAAATATACAAGTGCCCTGCTCTGGTCTTAAAGGTTGTCCTGTTTTTAAAGTGGAAAACATTTTGAATATGATTCTCAAAAAGTTAGATAATGGGCATCAAACTCAAAATATATGTTTTCAATGTTTTAATAAGCATGATAGTCATTTTTATAAACATATAGAACAAAGAAAAAATCATAGTTTTACTTGTGAAGTAAATTATACAAATGATATTACTAAGGCACTTCAAATTTTTAAAAACTGGATTTTACAAACTGCCATTACAGATAATAAAAAAAAAAAAAAAAATTATTAGCATGATTGTTAACAATACTTGTAATATGTAACAAAGAAACACAATGTCCTATAAAGCCTATAAATCTTTTTCTTCTTAAGACAATATTTAAAATTAGGCATGTAGATTTTTTTACACATTCTGATGAATGTTTTGAATTTACTCTAGAAGCTTCAGAAAAAATTAGTGAACAATTAAGAAATACAATTTGGAAATCATGATCTTTCATTCATCAAAACAAATCAAAACTTGAATTACCAGTGTCATTAGAAGAATACCATAGTAGATTTTCAACTTTTTTGACATCTTTTTTTACAATGTTGATTATTACTCTGTATATGAAAAAATACAAAGCTAATAATTACAAAAGAGCAAGTCATAATTTACCAATTCTTGATTTGATAAATTACATGCTATAAAAACTTCAATTTTTCTTATTTTTATGATTATTAATATCACTTCACTTTTCACAAATTTGTGGCTTCATTATATTTTGAGTTCATTAAGTCGTAAACCGAAAATGATATCTTTTTTATATGCAATTCTTTATTTAGCAAGAATTATTTCTTATAGTCAATGTTATAAACACCAATTAGAAAAAATTTGTTTAACTGAATCAAAACTAAAAAATAGGTTAATTAGAGAAAAAAATATGTGGAATGTCTGTGTTATAGATAATATTGATTTTGCCAAAAAGTCATTTTTATATAGAAATATATTTGATAGTTCTTGAGTTACATTTCATGCAACCATAAGAATGGTCTTTCAATTCAGTCTTCCAAGCCTGATTCAGACTATTATTTCTCAAAATAACGATAATGATAATGATAATTTAATGCAGCCCTTATTTGGCAAGTCTTTATTTACTAAAAATTTATTGGATCTTTATGAAAGTATTTTTATTCAACTTTTACAAATGAAATTAAATAATTGGAACATTGATGATATATTTAATGAAATTAAAAAAAATATATCAATTGGATATCAAATACCACTCTCTAATGTAGTTATATTAAAACCTGGAGAAAATCCTAACTGTGATGCAAATGTGCATCAAACCTGCGCAATGTACTTTAATAATGTCAGATTAGACAATACAAACAATATTGATGTTGCTTGTAATGAGGCTTTATTTAAGCACTTAATATCTTATAAAGAAAATAATTCACATATTAGATTATTGTTAGGACAATGGCACACTTTGAAGAATATGTGCAGTGTGTTAATTACACTTTTTTCTAGTTACAGTATTTTTGGTTTAGCTGCATGATTGGGAGTACTTCATATTGATAAATTAGAAAAAGTAATTGATTACCCTTCAACTTGTCGAGTATTAGAACTAATTTGGGTTGCAGTTGGGTGTGCACTTGTTCAATATACCTGTAAACAAGAACAGTCATTGCAAGAAATTATACATGAAACAAATAAAATTACAAAAGTATTGTATTGTTATTTTTATTGGGGTGCTTATTAGTTAAGTTATAAAATTGGGATTAGAAAAGGCAATTTTAATATGCAATTTAGAAATCTTGCTGCCTTTTTGCCACTTTTTCTTATGTCAAAAAAACATAATTATGCTCGATCTGTTACTTTTTTTTGTCATATGTCAAGGAAGATATTAATTTTCAAAAACTTTTTTAATATGTGTGTTTAGTTAACCTTACACATGAAGATCATTTTTTTGGATTTGATGAGACATTAGAAAGGTTTGATGTTTAATTCATCAAGCAAAACATTAGTGATAAATGGTTAACAAATAAAGAGTTAAAGTTACAAATGTCTTCTATACAAGGAGAAAAAGAGTGATTAGAGTTGCTAATATCTGAATATGTTAGTGATAAGCTTTATATTAAAAAAGAAAAAATAGTAAAATCCTGAAAAGAATCTCTTTGGAAGCTCATATCTAATTTAGTAGATGTGTTTTTTCAACCTGATTCACTACATGAACTTTTTCTTAATGTCTTAGAACTTTATAAGACAGGTTTTTAATATTTATTTTCATGCTATGAAGAAGATATTAATTGATTTTATAAAATCTTAAAACAAAATGTTTGCAAAACTGAAATTTAAAATGTAAAAGGTCATCGAGCATGTAATGTTACAACTTATAAATAGCAAAATTTGCAAGAAATAAACAAACCTAAAATTAAAAAAAATAAAAAATAAGCATCTCAACCAAATACTGTTGATATAAAAAAATTATGTCATAAATGACAAACTACTGAACAAGAGAAAAAAATATTTGAACTTATTTTTTTTAACAAAGTTTTTTCTAATGATAAACTTTCTGAAATCTTTTTGCAACTTGGTACTGAATCTAATGAATGGACTGAATTACATGTAAAGACTTATTGGAGAAATAATCGAATTAATAAATAGAAAAATATTGGTAATATAGTATATTTTTGTTGCTTTTACTGAATAATATTAAATTCAATATATCAAATAACACTTAATTTTTGAGATACAATTTTACTATAATGTGATTTCAAGAATATAAATGTTCTTAAAAACTATTCGATATGTTGCATTTTTTTACCTTGGAATTGGTTTACTAAATTATAAATTATAATTTTAATTTTATTTATATAGATCCTGCGTAAACAATATGAAATAACTATTATAATTATTAGGATTAATTTAGGATTAGAATTAATATAAAACAAAAGATTATGAGTATTAGGTTTAAACCTTAAAGCCAGTATTGTTAAATGTGTTATAAAATTTATAAAATTTTAATCTATATTTATATAAGAATTATTAAACAT